CCCCCCCCCCCCCAAATCCCAATGAAAACACACACCTAATCCAAAATGAAAAAAAAAAGAAAAATTTAGAAAATTATGAGTTATCTTCTATGAGAAACTAAAAACATACCCCTTTACCTCCAATGCGGAAACCAATACATAGATTGAAACAAAAAAAATTGCAATGTCCGGACCATATATATATATATAGAGAGAGAGAGAGAGACATATAAATTACCTTGGATTAAAAACTTGCAAGTAAATGATCCCATGGATCCAATCAATGGCATTTTTCTCTGATTTTTCTTGATGAACGAATACAAGATGTAGATGACGAGATGAATAGGATCGGAGGATAATACAAGCTTCGTAGTCCCAAGAACAGCTCTCAACCTTGTGCCACACCAAGGTTTTTGGAGTGGTTGAAATGACGTTCTTGCTCCAAGATTTATATATATCTCTCTGATCCAACCTTCTTCTCTCATCTCATCTTTATACCGTGGTTTCTTGAGATGAAGATAAACCTAGCTAGATAACATCTAAGAGAGGGGGAAAAATAAAGAGGAGGAGAGAGAGAACTTTAGGCGGTTTTGTGTTTATTGGATTAGATCAAAGAAGTGAGAGAGTAGACAACATTAGTTGTCGGATCAAGCCAGGCTCCGACAGCATTTGTATTGAAGCTTGAGGGATCTGCATATGACAACCCAATATACCCAGAGCTCTGAATCTGATGATCAGGCTTCCCTTCTTTGTTCATCACTATTTCAGCTTCATTGACATGGAAATCTTGGGGTGAAGCTAGGGTTTGCAGATTGTTTCGTCCTAATATCTCGCTGTTCCTTGGGATGTGATGACCTCCGTTGATGAACTTCTGTGGGTGAGAAGTTGAATAAGCCAATAGAGCAGCCATGGAAGACGTAGACGAAGAAGACAAAGACCCGAATAAACCCGAAAAAAAGGGCTTTTTAGTTGCAGAATCCAGGTTGATCATATGGTCACCTATATTTGGAAACCCTAATCCAAGATCACCAAGGCCATTAAACCTAAAACCACTCTCGAAACCCTTTGAATTGCTCGAAGCCATTGGAAGATTATTACCTGCACCAGTCACATCTGATAACCCACAGAGCAAAGGATGGACGTAACCAAAATGATTCATCCGAGAGGAAGAATTAGAAGTGGTGGAAGCAGAAGAAACATCAATTCTTCTCTTAACGCGCTTGTTCTTCCGACAGCCGCCGCCGACAGGGACGTTTCGAAGAGTGCCTCCTCTTGTCCAATACCTCTTGCAAGCCTTGCAGAAGTGCCGAGGCTGTGAGAGGCTGTAGTTGTTGTAGTAGCAGAACTTTGTGTTCGACGAGTCGCAACGCGGACATTTCAACGGCAGCTGCGACTGCGGTTGCGGTTGCGAGGCTTTGGTCATTCCTCCTAAATACCCGGCTGATGGTAGCGACGGAGCGACCATCATGTTGCTGTTATTGTTGTCGTTGCTGTTGCTCTGCATACTTAGCTGATGAAAAAGAAGAGAGAGAGATATGGAGAGTTTTAATTGGTGTCGTTTGGGCGAGAGATGAAAGTGACAGTGACTAAGAGAAGACACGGTTTATGCGGTTCCAAACACTAAGCAACAAAAACATGGGTCGTGTTTTACTCTTCAAATAATCGATCGATCGAGAGAGAGAGAGAATCTTCATACAATTGCCAAGCATATCACTCTCTGATATCTTCTATACGTAGCTCGTAATTTGCTTTCTTTGTTCTCCTCTTTGTGTTTTTCTTTTCTGGTATTCTTTGGTTCCCACCAAAGAGAATCTTTTGAAACCAGCAAATGTACAGACAGAGAGCAGTTGGGGGCTTCACCAAGTTATAATTACTGTCTGAAAGAGTGATGAAGGAAAAGATTCTTGACACGTGTTTATTTTAGGCAACAGATATACACATACACACACATATATATATATATTAGTAGTATTGAATGGCGTCTATATACTATATCACTAGGGTTTCTCTAATTGTATAATTCTGTATCTAGCTGAGATTTGGTAGGCAGAAGTGCAAAGATTCAATAGTGGGTATTAATTTCTTTCATTTTATTTAATTCGGAATGATGATTTTTAATGTAGTTTGCTGCGTTATGGAGAGAGAATATGTAACAGATGAATGTTTGAGAGGTTCGAGGAACATCATTCGTCACAAAAAAAAACGTGACATTCTTTTGCATAATATGAAATTGGAGCGAATTCCCTAAACCACAACTACCGATGATGAACCCCACTTCCTGTTGTTACTTTATTCGCATATCAAACTATATATTATACGCGTATAAAGCAAACACATGCAATTAATATGCATTCTGCTATTGTATTATATATATATATAGGCCCAATCGTAATAGACTAGCTAGTTGCATCTTTTTAAGGTTTTATACAAATTTTTTTATATACGCTAATGAATGTTCATATATACATAAGATGTTAACTGCAGTAACGATAGTGATAGTACATGGATAAAAAAAAATTAAGAAAAAGCTAGGTTAAGCTATTAACACGTGGACCTTTCAAATCCATATAGATTAAATTCGATGAGTATAATAAAATAAAATATAATGTCAAATTAATGAGCTTTCAAATTACTGAAAAAGAAAACGGATGGATTGGGGGAGAGGAATGCAAAAGAGAGATTTTGAAAATTCCAAGAGGAAAGGGACAAAAGAGAGCACAAAGTGCATCATGCGATGGACCATCTTTGCTTTATTCTCTCCTTCCTATTCTCTGCATTATCTCTTGTCTTAAATATGTGTATGTACACCTTATTGATTCACACACACACACACACAAACACATATATGTGTGTGTGTGTATTGTATAGATAGTTGTGAGGGTTTAGGGTTTAGGGTATATATATATATGTGTGTGTGTGTATATATATTGTATAGATAGTTGTGAGGGGGTAGAAAAAGCAATGGCATTAGTATGGGGAAACAAAAGGATTTTGCAGTATTCCGAGGGACCTTCTCTTTTCCCCTAACATTCCCTTCCTTGTAAAACTGGTTGAACGTTGTCCAATTTTGTCGTTTTCTCCGACATTGTGTTCCAAAAATAGTTTGATCGGTATATAGTTGGTTTCGATTTCAACGCACCGCATTCCATATCAAGGTTTGGGAGTACATTTGTTTCAAGAGGCGGTTAAGTCCGGTATCTGTTCCATAAATCTTGGGAGGGAAAAAAAATACATGAAAAAGTGTGTATTTTAAAATGGTAGTTAGGGATGGGCGCGGGTATTTGAAATCTGCGGGTTTTCGGGTATCCGGTCTCACGGGTACCCTTTATATAAAACGGGTTTGATGAAGCCAAAAATCTGGATTGCGGATTCGAGTCCGGGTTTTGTTTGAATGGCGTACCCGGATACGAATAAAATGACAATTATATCCCTGATGTTTTGATATATTTACAATAATTATTTAAAATATTTTTATATTAAATTACTAAAATACTCTTAAAGTCAACAAAAGTCTAACATTTTCTAACGAATTGGACGAGTTCAGATATCCTCGGGTAATCGAATTCAGCGACGGGTACCCCGAGTTGACAAAAGCGAAAACGAGATAGCGTTTTCTCAAAACCCGCGAAGACGAAGACGAAGCCCGGATACCCCAAAAATTCAGGGTACCCGACCCGTGTCCACCCCTAATGGTAGTATTAAAGAAATGATGTTGGGACATCATACCGTCTTGTTATACGTGATTATATTTTTCATGAATTTACAAATTCTTTTTCTCAAGACAAGTGTATGGATGCTGTCTGAAAACACGTGTGTGTGTGTATACATATATATATATACATGTAATATGTTCATGAATATCAATGGACCGTTCTTGAAACATTGGCTTTTAACGGCTTTCTTGTTTACGATGTAACAACGTTCATTGAACCCATTCTTTGTTTTGGGTCTTTTGCATTAAATTAGATAAGATTATTTCGAAAGCCCATTTCCTTTTTTGGGGTTTAAGGCCCATTATTATTTCATACCCAAAACCATGAGATTGTATCCATATTTATTTTGATGAAAATTTCACTTGGGGTATGATTTTGGTTTTCGGTCATAGATATACAAAGCCGAAAAACTCGGTGAATTTGGAATAAAATCTTATTGGATAATGACTTTTCTAAAACTAAACAAAATGAATTTGAATGACAAAAAATATCCAATTTTATAAAACAAATATTTTTAATTAAAACTTAAATCCAATTATTGAATCCGGACAAGAAATAGCCTTTTCTTTGTTTTATAATAGGCGAATATCAAAGCTCTTCCCCCCCCCCTCAATAAAGCCTGACCTTCTTTACATTATGTTACAAAATAAGAGTTTAAATATTGCTTACGTGCATTTTGGGGAAGGGATTTATTTTATGCAACCGGTGAAACGGCGCAAAGCCCCTGTCCCTTCAAATTCAGTTTATATATATATATTCTTTTTAATACAGACAATCATTGAGATTATGATATACATTTCAGCTAACAAGGTGAGATCAAACAATATATATATGTGTGTGTGTGTGTGTGAAGTAGGACTGCTTCACATTGCCTGCAATGAATGGAAATCTGCAAGACCCGTGACACGGAAAATGGAGTAAAGCGACGGAAATGCATGGATGCGAATGTTTTAGGGCCGGGGACTTAGACGTCGGGTCAGGGCTTGGACAGAGCAGTTCTTGGACTAATGTCAGCAGGACCAGGAACAAACATATGTCCTGCAATAATCAACATGCGAGGAAGTTGAACACTTTTGTGGAGAGAAACAGTTTCCTGATGATGAACACAATGCTTAGAGAGGATTCTTACAGCTATCCCACCGAGACCACCGCCAGCCTATTCCCATGTCTGTCAACCAAGTTTGCTGTCTTTTTAACCAAGAACTCTCCAACTTTGAGTGGATTTGATATTGTGCATAGCGATAGACGATATGAAAGGAAGCATTTGTAAAACATTTCTCTCAAGAATGACGCTGAACCACCAACACAGAAAAACACCTGTTACCTGCAAGATATCATATCAACCCAATATGTCATTCACCTTTTTGTATAGTTCAAGGATCCCGGATTCCTTAAGTACAGGAAAATTCGCCGATAGAGCCTTAGATTATACAAGAGTGGTATAATCAGTCGTAGCCCGGGCAGTGTCAAGCATATTGAAAAAAGTCAGAAAGAATCATCATTTTTCAAGGGTGTAAGAGCTTATGAGACACAAACAAGTGCCAAAGATACTAATGGTTCCATCATAGAATGGGGAGAAAAAGCTAAAAGTTATGAAGGAACATTTGTTATCCACATTTGTGATGCTTTATATTGTAATGCTAAATTCACAAACAATGTTCCAATTCAAGGTGCTTGCTTGTCGACAAAAACACGAGATAAGTTCGTGAATTCATTCAACAATCATGATTATCTTTTTAATCTAAAACATGGTCAAACCAAACAGAACATATACTGAAAATCCAAGGGCACAGATACTGAAAACCAATGTCCCATTCACAAATGTACTGTGTTTCTGGAGTAGGTAAAGTCCAAACATCATGAGATTAACCCTCCATTGCCATTATCAGATACTGGTCTGATTTCATTTCTATTCCTTAAAGATCATTCAACGATTACCCAATTCAGGTGGAGCAGCGAAAATTCTCTCAACAACTAGGAAACGAATTTGTAAATTCTGGAACACACCTCGGTGAAACAATACAATCTCATTCGGACGAAATCAGCAAATGGGTATCGAACAAAATGAACATATCTGTGATCATGGAACTGTGCCTGAAGCATACACCACCGAATCCAAACAGGAAATGAAGATGACCCAGTTGGGGATTACACTGAAAACGAATCTAAGAATTGAAATCATGGGGTTTGAAGTAGAAGAGGATTTGTAGCACCTTGACGGTGTCGAAAGAGTGATCGACGGCGACGGTGGCGAAGACCACCGATCTTTCCCACGACATCCCCCGCCATCCTCTCTCTCCCTCTCTCTCTCTCTCACAGAGAGAGGTAGATTAGACAGAAGTTCCACTGCCGCCATAGTATTTCAAATGGAATAAAATTTTGCCCTGGTTTAAAATCCCGAGTATTCCCGGTTTGGATACAATTTAATAAACCGGTGCGAAATTGAACCGATTAATTCATTCCCATCATACCAAATCACCAAGATAGTTTTTAAAAGGGATATATGACATCGCGTAATAGAGGTAAAACAAAGATAAAATGAAAAGAAATACAATATAGAAAACAATTGCATATATGTGCGCATTTTATTAACAATTAAGGTTTAAACAGTTTGTCATAAAATGTATTATCTAAACAAATATATCGTAACAATTATTTAAAATATTAATTGTATATCGTTTTGTTTAGAACAATCATTGATGTTGCATTTGGAATGTCATCATGATTATCGAAATACAAAAATAAAAGACATACGTGTATATACATATATTTTTTTGTCTCTAAACTATATTATCATCATCCTAATGGAAACAATATTTCATGTGAAAGAAATATATCGTACTAACGAAATAAAAGTGAAAAAGAATTTTGACTATATCTTTTTTCTTTCCCATATAATATATATTTTGGAAACAATTTACCAAAAAAAATATATATATTTTGAAAACAGTCGGTTCATATCTCCAATGAAAACAATGGTGTGTTATATTATTCCCTTTAAGTTGTATTTTAGAAATTCCGATAGAAAACTATATCATAATATAAACCGCATAGAATATATATTATTCATTGTATCGATATGAAATGGAAACATACTTTTAACTATGTAGATTTTTAGGAAATTATTCTAAAAGTTAATAGTTATTATTTCTGATGAAAAACTAGGGTTAATAGATAGTATTTAAATTTAAAAATAATCATGTTATCAATATATATATATATATATATATATATAATATAATGAGTTAAATTTTTTTTATGTAATAATGAGCTATATTTTATATAAAACAAAACATAATATTTTGCAAACCTGTAAACTCACAAACCATAATTTGATTCTAACCGTAGATGCATCCTAATAATCTATTATTAAAAAATAAAGATAATTGTAATGTAAATATTAATATTAATGATATTTTATTATAAAATTGCGTGTTTCTACTGCGGAAAAAAAAAGAAGGGCTTATATAAAGGAAATAATAAAGGTAAAACTCATTCGGTGAAGACCACGAACCTCCAAGGTCGACTCCTGCCCCCCTCCTTCTCTCCCTCTCTCACTCTCGCAAACAAACCCAGAGAGTGTAGAAAGATCAAGCGGGGAGCCTTAGTATTCGTTCACCAATCTTTGTCCGCCATTGTAGACGAACCCATCAAACCCTTTTTCCCCTTATCCTGTCTGGTTCAGTCTCCGATCTTCTCTTCTCCTCGAAGAACCGCCGAAAACGATAGAAGCAATGCCGACCCACCAGCGCAAACGCCTCCGCGATGCCGACGGAGTTGAAGACCGTCCTCGTCGGCTCGAAGACGGTGAAAATCATGAGGACAAGCCGGAGGAAGAAGATCGTGACGATCATGACGATGCTGAAGCTGAAGGTACGTGTTCCGTAACGGGGGGAAATATGCGTTTATGAACAACCCATGTAAATTTTTCTTTATGGGTTTAAGTATTCGTTATCGAGGAGCTCGCATCTAATTCTTGTTTGTTCTTGGATTTCTGTCTCTTGGGTTTTTCGTAGGATCTGATCGGAGCTCCTTTTCAAGCGAGGGGAAGAATAAAGAGTACGCCTGCTTGTTGTCCTCCTCCTTTGATCTTTTCTCGATTTCATCGTTGTTTTCTCCTGCATTTTCGTGTTTCTCGCGATATTTCGTCGGTAGTTTTTGGATCTGCATGCAATTTGCGGCATGCTAGTGATTGTTTCGTTTATCGTTTTACTACATGCTGTATGAAGCTGCTATTATGTGTAGGAAACAATGGCAGAGTTGCGATCAGGGTAAATGTGGTAGTCTTTGCACGTTCTACGTGTATTTGATTAGAAGTTGGTGGCTCGAATCCAGTTTTATTCTATCAATCATTCGATCGTGTTCCCAGGTCTTAGGATGGCTTCTTCTTGTTTGTTGGGTCCGACTGGGTTTGGCAAGAAACCATTTGGTATGATAATGTGATGTGTGTTTTGGCGAATGCCCTTTGATTGTTTGATTGAGTCAGAGACTGTGTTTTGATTATGGGTTTACGCTAGTGCTCTGGTGACATTGTCCTAGCCATGTTTTGAAAATAATCAGCAACTCATGCTTCTTCATCACTGCTCGTGGGTCATCTTTGTTGGGTGTCTCTTGGGATGTGTTTATGTTTTTGTTTGGATGATGGTTGTAAGGTTGCTTTACTTGTAGTTGACTAAACCTGCTAATTGATTTGTTCCAAATGATTCTTATCCACTCATAATTTCACCAATAGAGAGGAAGTGAAGAGGAAAACCTCGGTCATGAGTGTTGGCATTTGCTTTGGTATACCTCGGCCATGTGCTAAATTTGCTGCTGCTTCATTGATCTGGCCATATGTTACTTCCATGCCTGATATTAAACTCTTACACCTTTTTCTTGGTTTTTGTAACTTATTAGCAACTCTTTTGAACTTTATACCTCTTTGGCATTTGTGCATTTTCTCATGGGCTAAATTGCTGCACAAACATCTCGAGGAGGGAAAAGTTAAGAAATTGCGTGTATGTGCAGTTCATTGCTTCCTTTTCTTTAAAAAAACCGATTCCACTTTTTTTTTTGGTTCTGCTTGCAGATTTGTCATGGTAAACTTGTCCGAAATTCACAAGGACGTGCAGTGTCCGATCTGTCTAGGTATGTCATGGATATTATTTCTCAGTTCAGTACAGCATGTAAGAGTTGTCTGTTCTTCTTTCGCACACCATGTTTCTATTTGGAGATATGCATGTCTAAACGAAGTAAATTTAGATTCCTGGTGCTGAATTGTTGGTTAAAGCCATCTATATGTGAGTCCATATACTTTATATACAACAACATGAACATACAAGAAAGATTTAGGGTATTGCCACCTGTAGGGTGGTCGATTTTTTGCCCCGGATTCTAGTTTTGTGTAACAAGAGTCCCCACACTAATAAATCTAGGGTTAAATGTTTATACTGACGAGAGCCTGATAAACTATGTTTCTCCTTATAATGACATTGTTCTGATGGGAGGCTGATTCATTTCTCATGCCTCTCTGTAAATATAAACGTTTACGCTTTCTTTATGTCAAGTGAAAAAAAAAACAGAGTAGATAGAAAATGTTGTTTAAACCTTTTTTTTTCGCGGCTTAGATTATCAACAATGGTGTTTTCATTGCCAAAGTTTTGATGTGTTCATCTCTACACTTTCCTTTCCCAGGCATCATTCGTAAGACTCGTACTGTGATGGAATGCCTTCACCGCTTCTGCAGGGAGTGCATTGACAAATCCATGCGCCTCGGGTATGTTTAGTCATCATACAACAAATATCATCAGAGAATTGGATTTTATTCTTCAATGGTGGTACATCTTTCTCGGTTCGTTCATTATTTCGAAAATTTTAGTACTAACTTGCATCAAATATCTCGGTTTCTGTTTCATGTTGAATGAATATATCCATGAAGAAACAACGAATGCCCTGCTTGCCGAACGCACTGTGCTAGTCGTCGATCATTGAGAGACGATAAAAATTTCGATGCACTCATTGCTTACCTGTATCCGGATATTAACAAGTACGAGGAAGAGGTAAGTAACTGCTGGTTGGTCGGTCCATTTTAATGGCTAAGATTTTCTATTACAAAGCAAAAAAAAAAAACTCGTTGTTGTATTGCCACAGGAGTTAGCTTTCAGTGAGGTTGACAAGGCTCGTAGTAAGGAGGTAAGCTATGGCGGTTGAACAGTAATATTACATGCTTTGAGCTCATCGAAGTTTCACTTTCATATTTTTACATGCTTTCTCTGCCATGGTTCTGCATTGTATTCCTCTGTTTCACTTAGTACTGAGAGATGGGTTATATTTCAAACAGATCCAAGCCACTATTGCTAAGGCAGTGAAGCGACAATCTGAAGCCATTGTCAAGAAACGATCATCCAAGAAGACAGCGGTGACAGAATCACTTAGGAAATCCCGTCATAACCTTCGAGTTAATTCGGTGAGAGGTAGGAGAAATCTTCAGAGAGATGACACAAGCAATGACGATGATGATGACAACGGAGAAAGAGATTCCTCGTCTGGTGACGACCGTTCTAAGGATGTCAGACCCAGAAGAAGAAGCAAGAGGGCTAGACGAGTTTGCTCTTCCCAACCTTCTGGAAGTAACAGTTCGGACAGAAGCAGCGAGGGAAACAGCTCAGAAAGAGTTAAAGAATCAAAGGGAAGAGTCAGGAAGCTTTTGGGATCTTCTGAGGGACTGGCGTGGGGCAAAGGTGGAGCAAGAAGTCACCCTCGTCATGGAAATGGGAGTGGAGGAAATGGAAACGCCAGAAATGGACATAACAACCGAGTACCTAAGGTGGTGGATCATCTTCAGAGCCTGAATAACCAAGAAAACGAGGTAAACATTTGATGAAATGGCCATCTTGATTATGACATTGAAGAACTAGAATCATGACCCAGTTCACATTTTCAGATGAATGTACACATCATGCTTGTGTCAATGGACGAAAAGAAGATACCCAATTTGCAGAAGCCTTACCTCAGTTGCAGACAGAGTTTAACAGCGAAGTCCTTATGCAGGGTTAAGTGCCATTGATGTCCTAATCTTACAGTTTTACGAGTTCTTGAGTTGCAGAACCTCACATGTCTGGTATCATATATGCAGTACATTGCCCTTCAGAACGCAGCTCAAGCCAATGAGATTGAGATATACGTGGCGGCGAAGGAGCTTAGCTCCAAATCCATGGCGGTTGACCCGAGCAAAGATGAACTGAGGATTTTGAACAAGGAAGAGAATCTTGGCGGGCTTAAGATGTACGGCTACAACCGTGGCTATGTGGTGAGTTTTGTTTCTTCCAGAACCTTCTATTGAATGGATGATTGCCACCAGATTGTATCATCATCATCATCATCGTCATTGCTTGTGTCATCAGGTTCTTGCTTACCAGAAGAAGGGTTCGTACGATAACGAGACATGATGACAACGAGAGAAGAGCCAAAGTGGGATGTGTCAGAAACTCAGAACATGCAAAGAAAAATAAAACAATACAGAGACTTTGCTATATACATATAAACCATGCAAAAGAATAAACTATTTTTTTTTGGGGGATTTGCCAAAAGCATGAAATGTTATTGAATATTTTCCTTTTATTCATTAGCAAAGTTGATTGATTTATACACATGCACGTATAGTAATACACAAATTATCCATGCAGTTAATTGTAGTAGTTATATATTTTTTTTCTGAGACAAATAAAGAAAAAATTCCGACAAGAGTGAACTTCCGGACAAGCTACGCCAATATCGGGTTTTGGTTTTTGTGGCATCAAGATTTGTCTCCATGCAATAATAAACTAAAAAAAAGTTTTTTTTGTCACATCATATTTTATTTATTTAACAAAAAAAAGGTTACAAGCAACATCTGCATGCATCAACACCGTCAAAAACCAGAGATTAGGGCGAGATCCAACGGTCATAACCGCTTTTAACAAAAGGCAAGCCAAAAAAAAGCACAAACCACCTGGAGGATGAAAAGACGATATTTACATACAAACCCCCCAAAACTTTTTCCCCTGACAAAACAGCCCCGTACTTTACCATTTCCCCTTCTCCTCCCAGTACAAAAGAAAACGGATAACAAAGACACGTGGCATCGTTTTTCCATCACCCGCATGTCACTCTATCGTTGCCTGACTCCTCGTTCAGCGGTGCTGGCTCCTTGATTCGCCACTGTAGAGCCTGCAAACGCAAAACGCAAACGCGACACGAATATTATTATTTTAATTAATTATTGTAACCATCAAGATCTAATTTAGACCGTCCGATATGTGGTAATGGAATTTAACAGTTAGAGAAAACTAGCGGCTGTCATTAAAAAAAAATGAAAACGGGATATGTGGGGTTTAGTGATTAATCATTATACCATTAACGAAAATGGATCTCTTTCTTATTATTTAATCCAAACGCCTACTAAACAAAGTGCCACGTTTTCCTTCCTCTCAGCCTCTCTTTTGTCGCTACACAAACAGATAAATAAATAAAACCCACAAAAGAAAAAGTAAGCTAAAAAACCGAACCGGTTTAACCCGGTTTGATGCATAACCGGAAAGCGAGATGAATTTGATTAGGGATTGGTAGAATAGATTACCAGTCGTAGACGGTGGGGGAGTTGGGGTGAGAGGGCTTGTCGAAGAGGTTGGCACCGAGGCCCTTCGTATTGAGGTTGCTGCCCGGATGAAACACGCTCCTCCACACGTTCTCCTTCCTGACCGAACCGGCCGGCGTTGTCGGCGTTGTCGGCGTTACCGGACTCCCCGCCGCCGACGGCATCGTCATCGACCTCTGCATCTTGCTGCTGCTGCTCCCTTCTCCTACATCTTCAAACAACAGAAACACAATCACTATTCATATTAATATATATGTGTACACATACACTGCAAAAGTTGTATACATGTTTATGCATATATTATATATACATATATATATGCATACATGTATGTATGTGCATGCATGTATATGTTGACATGAACGAGTTTCTTTTTGGGGTTTCGTTTTAATGGACTCGTTTGATTAAGAGAAGCCAATTTTTTTTATATGAAACTCGATCGTGCGACGTTAGATCTTGTCGAACGATATCAAAGTTGTGTTCATATGGATTTGGCGACCAGATTTATTGGTTCTCCGAACTGGGTATTGTTTGGTTATATGCTTCTTTTCTCAGACTGGAGAGTCTTGCAATAAGTATACAGATGTAGATACGTATACGTGTACTTGTACTTTATTTGTCCTTCTGGTCCGTATAGATGTCCGATATCTACGTATTTGCAACAAAAAACTCTACTTTCCGACATCAAATGGGGTCTGATCTTGTCTTGCAGACAGTCTTACGTTTCTTAAACCCTCATGGATCTATATACGTGTAAATAAATATACACCCACCAGAACCTCTTTTGTGTATATATGCATATGCATATATACGTGCATATGTATATATATGGAATAATATTTATGTATGCATATATATGTACCTTTGATGTTAATGGGTTGAGTGGTGATCTTGCGGAGGCGGCCGAGGCCGCGATCCGGCTGAGGACCGGCGACTACATCATCCCACAGCTTCTCCAACAGAACCATCTCTCTCTCTCTCTCTCTCTCTCTCTCTCTCTCTCCAAGTGGATGGTTTTATTATGCAGAGATTTGGAAATGGTATGTGAAGTGTGAAGCACTTAGAGGTGATTCCTTGTCATTTATAGACCCTCCAAAATATCTTATCTTCCTTGTCTTAGTTTTATATTTTTTGTTTTCACTACCTCCCCACTGACGTTAAATGGTTCTTTTGACAAATAACCAGAGAAAAATGCACCGTCGTCCACCGTTGGATTATTTTGACTGTAAGAATGTGTATGATGTGCACGATACGATCTTAAAGGCTAAATATTTGGAATCTTTTTTTTTTTTTGGTATACGTCTGATGATGGATAACGACATTATACTATATGATGTTAAAGATATTTTTATATTGGAATAGAAGAAGAGTGAGTTTGAGGAGTGTGGAGATAGCAAAGCGCGAGGTGTGGAAAGAGTCAAGGGAGATATGGATAAGGATGGAGAGTCACTATGTGGGACCCTTTTGAAAAGGTATCCTAAGTTTTAATATCCAGAAAAGAAAATATATCATAAAAAATTATTATGATAAAAAATACGAATGTGTACATTATTGTGTAAATATTAACGAATATTAGGTTATATATCATAGTTTACGGGTCAGAAATAATTGCCATTGTTATGGGACACCATAATTTCCATTGTTAAATAGGCAGTCTAATAAATATGGAACTCAAGTAATTGGTCATACGAATTCTACAATAATTTTTGTCCGAATTTCAGATTATCTTTGTTTAATTTTTACGATATAATACACAGTTGGGAATTGATATTAATCATATCATTTCATAAGTGGAAATTACATAATCACCCTTTACTGAAACCTTGAAAAGTCAAAATGGGATAAGAGAGAAGGAGATGGGGTGTCATCATTGTACTAAACGACAACCCATTATGAGGGCCCACAACGAAAGATGGCCTAAGACAGTGACACGTGAACAATGTTCCAATCACGTGATGCCTGTCTCTCACGAACTTTGGATAACCAGCTGTCAAGACTCAAGAGGTCAGCCTTACATGGAGTTTAATATTCGTATAATTACGTAGAAGTTTTTAGAATTTTCTTATTCGAATTAAAATCTAAACTTTTTAACACTTAATATTTAGATATTCTAAATATCCCAATAAAAAAAATATAGATTTAATGATAATGACAGACAATTAAATACTAATTTTGTAAATATCTATAAAAAAACTAAACATAATTATAAAATCTGTATAATACCGGATATCCACATATTCAAGTTTTGACAAAAACTATCCAATTTTTCTATTTTAACTAACCAAACCCGACCCAGAATATTTGGAATAAACTCAAATCAAGTTCGAATGGCGGATAATTTAACCACCCCTGAACACTAGAATCCCTTTTTTATGACAAAAACTTTTTATTTTTATTCTACAATTAGATAAATTTACTACGCATCCCTAAATTTTACCATTTTGTGTTTTCTTCTAGTACAAGAAACTAAATAAAAGTCGCCCCAAAAATGTTAAAAGTCACCAAGTCAAACAACACAACACCTGGACCCAATAGGGAGATGCTGAAGAGAGGTGTTGGGAAAAACACTGAAACCCAAAACAGAATAAATAGTTGTCTAAAAAAAACATATTTTCCATGGATGTTTACAACTACAGGCAGAAGAAAGGTAAGATCTAGGAATGTACCTCAACATTATACGTTTTCCCAGTCTTCTTCCCGATGGATGAACAGTTAGGAAACTCGATCAGTGTCGGAATCGTTCAGGCAAAAGCTGTTTCAAGCAGAAAAACCACCATGGTTTCAACAACTTTTACTACATGGAAGACAAATCCCTCAACCTCCAAAGGCCTAGGTTGGAAAGTTTTAAAAGGATTTCCGGGTCGTTTGAAAGGATGCTAATGGATGCAGATAAAGAAACTATAATGTGTCTAATAATGTAAAAACTTTCATTAACCTGCAATTGAACCACCCGATCGATATGTACAACAAATGGGGTGTCTGCTTGGAGACCGAAAGCCTTAGGATTTACGGAACTTCTCAACGTATCCCTGCGAGTGGAAAGAAGGGATTGTCAGATGAATGCAACAAGAAACAGAGCTTCTTCTTTCTTTAGTCCTTTAGGTGAGAACTCTACCTCCACAAGCTTCACAATTTTGGTTTGGGAAACAGAAAGATATTGCTCAATGGATTCGGTATCAGTTGGAACCTGGTGGAACTGGACAGCAGTGCTAATTACCTTCTCGACGGCCTTTTTCACTATCATATTATGCACGTCTTTACTGAGCCGACCTTCGCGCCATATCGGTTTCAACAGTTCTTTGATGTTTTCTATAAGTGCTGTCCGGAAATTTCTCATTACTTTCATTCCAGCATCAGACCTTACTTCACCATCTACATCATCTGTCGCCTTGTCTGCTCTCGCAATCTTTATATTGGAAGACATGTTGCTTTTACGCCAAGCGTCATAACCTCCAGCAGGCCTACTTCTTTTCACATCTTTTTTATGTGCAGGCCCTGAAGATTTTCCCTTCTTGGGGTTTACCTCATTTTGCTCAACCACAGAAGTAGCCATCATCTCCATTTCATGTATTTCAGAATTCTTTTCTGGTGCAGCTTCTTGGTATTGATTTTGACTGCAAGAACTGCTTTTATCATCATTGCAGTCTTCGGCTTGAGGCCCACTTCCGGAATCACCATCTTTGTGATGATGGGATGTTTTTTGAGTGTGTTCCCCTTTGCTTGACACTGAATCATTAAGAAGATCGTCTTCTAGATTTTGTGCATCCATGCCATCGAGGAAGGGGTCATACATGGTACTGCATGGAGGAAGTATTGAAGGTGGAATGACAAAAGATGGTCGAAAAGGTTCAGAAGGTTCCCAATCATTTGAAGTAACTTTTGCTTTCTTGCTAGCAGCGTTGCCTTCAGGATCTCGATGAGAAAGTGATTCAGATCCATAAAACTTATTCCCACTATCAAACTGCCCCTGCCCACCAGAAGCAGACACACTCGTGTGAAATGATCTTGTCCATGCTGGTTGAGAAGGTACGATATCAAGTTTACTGCTGGAAGACACCGAGGATCTATGCCCGTGAACAGAGCTGCTTCTAGGTATGGAGGGATCCCCGCCATTAAAGAATAAAGACCTGTTCTCAAGGCCATCAGCTCCGAAATTTTGCTTCAGTCTCTCTCTTCCCATGTCCTTTGATGACCACATAAACCCCATATCCTCTTTGGAAGAGAAAAACCTTTGAGAGGCTTGGGAGTTGACCACATATATTTTCTCTCTGCTATGTAAACTAGCCTCGCTATTCTGTTTTGCCTCACAAGATTTTCCACTAACTCTATTGTCCGATGTTATTCTTTCTGAAAAAACATAACGAAAACAGATTATTGGTTGAACAATGAACATAAATCCAACCCACAGAAGTACTTATCCACAAAGCTAAAAAGAAATCACTATACTAACTTACCTTCACCAGGCCGAATTTCACTGTTTCCAGCTACATTATTGCTTGCCTGTCGTTGGTTAGCGTTATTTGAATTATCTTTTACATGAAGAAACCTACAGGACTTCCCTCTGATGCACCACCCTTTGGCAAAGAAATCACAAACAATTCCTGCACGTTTTTGTTGCGGTTCCTTAATTTCACCTCCAGGGGAAAAGCTCCTTGGCCTTATTTCAGGTGCAAGAAGAAAACTAAAACTATCAGAGAGAATAGACAAAAGCTTAAAACAAGGAAAACAAAGAAAGTAGATCTTTAAACAGCATAGTGTAAAATCTATGCTAACCTTATAGTATGCCTGAGAAAAAATTAAAGGGCAAAATTGCTATACCTTGACTTTATTCCCCTCTTTTCATCTTCAAATATGATATTGCTTCGGCCCTTTCCAGAATTACAAGCAAAATCGGTTTTCTGACAAATGTCAGCACCACCTGGAACAGAATCAGAGACCTTATCTCCAGCACGGTTACCGGAAACGGTGCCACTATTTTCGTCTTCGGACTTGATATTGCTTCGCTTGTTCCCAGAATTACAAGCACCATTGGGTCTCTGACCCACGCCACTGCTGCTTGGAACGGAATCACAAGTCTTTCCTCCAGCAGTGTTACTGATCCCTGTGTTCCCAAGACTTACCAACTCAATATTATCCGGTCTAGGCTTATCATTGTTTTCCAGACTTAGATTGTTAACTTTTGAATCTCCTGTTGGCAACTCAGAATCCTTCTCATCTTCCCATGCATCTTGGGTTCCTTTATCTTCAGTCAAAGTCAGTTCCTTCTCTGAGTTTTCAAAGCTTAGACATGTATCCTTTAGGGTTGTTGATTGCTCATCTGAAGGTGAGGTTGACTTCAACACTCGAACATCAGAATTCAACTCTGGACATGACTTGAATTCCTCTGTCCTGGACGAACATGAGGCTAAGCGTCCATCAAGCCTATTGGACTCAGAGCCCCTTTCCACATCTACATTACAAAAATGAAAACTCGTGAAAAGGGAAACAGACCTCGCCACCTCTTCACGACAACATTGAACATCTGTCAGATTAGGACATTCTAGCAAGGAACATCGAACGAGGTAGAACTGAATTTACAGGATGTTCAACCGTTTATAACAAATTTCGTAGAACTTTGATATATAGTACGGGTTTAGCAGGGTACTATATTCGAGTGAAACCCATAAACAAGCTCAGTCAACATTCAGTGTTTGATCACCAAATGCTAGAAACCGTGACAAAATCCCAATGCCACTAAGACAAAAACATGGGGACACACGAAAATCCAACATCATCTACGCGAACTTTGAATCTGTGCCTGTAATTAACTAATTCCAACAGTGAAACCCTAATTGCAAAGCTGCCCAAGCCACAGCTACAAGCAAAAAATCGAAGAACCCAATTCATCAATTCTCAAAACGATTGTCAGGAAATCATCAAGCTCATGAGCTGTTTCGATCAATCAATCTAGAAATTGACTACCTAATCAGTAAAACCACGTTTCAATAGCAAAAAGAGCACGAACCTTCTTGCAAATCGGAAGGTTTACTCGGTGAATTACAAGATTCTTCTACATCCTGATTCGCCTGTTCTTCTCCCTCCTCTTCCACCTCAACCACTTCTTCCTCTTCCACCTCAACCACTTCTTCCTCTTCCTCGGGATCCTCTTCCTCTTCCACTTCTTCAATCACTTCCCCTTCCACTTCTTCAATCAATTCCTCTTCCTCAGGATCCTCTTCCTCTTCTTCAATCACTTCCTCTTCCACCTCTTCAATCAATTCCTCTTCCTCGGGATCCTCTTCCTCCTCCTCCTCCTCCACCTCCTCTACTTCCATCTCTTCTTCTTCGACATCGATTTCCTCAGCGTCCATGGCGGAATCGGATACGGAGGGAGAGGTCCGTACCCCACCGTCGACATGAACGCAGAAGGAAGATATCGCCGCGCGATTTGGGGCGGCGTTACGACCAAACCTAATACGACGTCGTATTTTCTCACTCGCCCGACCCCATTAGCGTTTGGGTAGACCCAAAGGGAAAAGGGCCTAATTAATGGGCTTTTTCAATACAATATGGGCCCACCAAATGATCATATTATTTTTGGTTTGGTGGGCCCATATATATCGTTTTAAGGTTTTATTATGAATGAAATCGATAGTTAGCCCAGAAATCATTGGACTGGCCCATTAATAGGCGAGTACCAAGTGAAAGGTCCATTAATAAAATTTTATTATTTGATAGGCCCATTTATGAAATAGACGGTTGGTCCATATGGCCCATTATAAGACAACCACCAAGTGAAAGGGCTGATAAGTTTATTGCTTAATAGGCCCATTAAGTGAATGGTCCATTACTTGATTGGCCCTATTCGATAAGATGGATGCTGTCCCTTTGACGTGGCGACCTCAAACCCAACGACGAACAGCTTCGTTATTAGTTTTATTAATTATTTTCTAAAAAAAAATAAAAGGTCGAAATAAAAATAAGCATTTCTTTCCACTGAGAATCAGAAATCTCATCCATCTCCTCTTCTAGGGTTTTCTTCGACGAATCGAAGAATCCATCAGGAAAAAGCTCCGCATTCTTCGAGATTCCTTCTTTTTCTTCCCTCTCCGGCATCAATGGCGTCGAACGACACCGGCGACAATTTCCAGCAGCGCAGACCCCGCCCGAGAAACGGTCCTCCACCGCCGCGGCGAGGAGGGAGGAACCATGCTCATGCGTCGGCGCGGCAGCATCAACCGCGGGAGCAGCAGCCGCAGAGCTTGCCGGAGAAGAGGAAGCCGGTGTTCATCACTGTGAATCAGCTGAAACCGGGCACGGACGGCCACAACTTGACCATTAAGGTGGTTGATCTGAAGACCGTCCTTCAGAAGGGTGGGTCCGGAAACGGCGCCGCCTCCGCCTCCGCTCCTCAGCTTCGACAGTCGCGGATTGCTGAGTGCCTTATCGGAGATGAGACCGGTACTATCGTCTTCACTGCTCGCAACGATCAAGGTGATCCATTTCTTCCCATTTTTTGTAATTTCCGGATAAGTCGTGCTTTGGCTAATCGGATTCCTTGGCCTCGGAGCTTGAGATTTTATGTTTGTGGTTTTGAGTTGACGATCTGTCGAATGTCAGAGCCGATTCAGGGGCTTCTTGATATTCGGACAATGATACAAAGCTAACTGTGTCTTAAAAACCATCTGCTCAAGGTTTAAAGTAACAGTACTGTAAATTGCTAATTAGCATTTAATTATTTAGTTAACTGCGATGGTTTTTAATATATAATTCCTGAAAAAAATATCATTTTTACTTGAATTGCGCCGTGGCCAATATATGTTCCTCAATTCTTTGAAGCCATAACGGTATCTCTAATTTTTCCTGCTTCGCTAATATATGGTTAGAGATCTTCTCAGACAGATGATAGACATGGAAATAATCATTGAGTTTACTGCATTTGCTGAGAAATCTTTGTTCTTTGTTTGGTAATTCCCTTTCAACCTTGGTCGTGAGATGTAAATTTGTTTTTTCACCGCTGGATTAGCTTTTGAATTTGCTTTAACTTCAAAAGTGGCAGTAAAATGTTGAACGAGGAGTTGTTCTTGCTCGATTCCTTCTTTAGTTTCTGCTAGTAGGGTTTTATATTTCTGGGTTTTGGTCATCAATGGTGATCAATATAGAACAATTTATTCATGTATTATAAGTATTAAGTTGATTCATATTGGACTGATAAAATCTTTCTGCTTTCAGTGGATGTGATGACGCCAGGAACAACTTTAAACATCAGGAATGCGAAGATCGACATGTTCAAAGGATCGATGAGGCTTGCTGTTGACAAATGGGGACGTATCGAGGTAACTGAACCCGCAGACTTCACGGTGAAAGAGGACAACAACCTGTCCCTCGTGGAATACGAGCTCGTCAACGTGGTCGAGGAATGATTCATTTCCTCCATTTTCTCCTTCGGGTGAAAGGGTACTCCCGAGGGCTCAGCACTGATTGTTTTTCTTTTTTCCGTCTGCCATGGCCACACAGAGGAAGTAAGTTACTATCCTCAAGCTTCATCCTTGACACGGTGACATGAATGGCGATTGGTGATTGAAGTCATTTTGATGTTTTGGTCTCTCTCGTTAGGCAGATGTCTTGTTCTTCCATTGTGATGTCATTTTCTGTCTTTATTTTTTTGCCACCTCGTTGCTGCTTTTTTGTATGGTCTAATAGAACAGTGTTTAATGGATGATGCCGAGGTTGACTTGCTATCCCTCCCAAGTATCTCTTACTGTTTTGCCACTTGCAATTGCAAATTTATAATCTGAAATCAGTTTGGTCGTGGAAGAGAGTGTTTATCTTTCCAAATTATAGATAAAAAAAATTACCATATTATTTGAAGATTTGAAGTAACTTTACTTAATAAAAACTATAGAAACACTTGATGGGTTTTCAGAAGTAACAGAGCCACCACTAAGCCTTCAATGCCTTGAACCAACAGTCACCTGAAACTTTTGCCAGAACCCTCGAACCATCCAGAGAGAGATGCAACCACTGCATTAGGAATCTGAAAATGTTCACATTGAAATATATAAGAAAGATGTATGATATCCAAAAATTCGATATGTTCTCCGTCTGTTATGCTCTCAACATGGTGAAAGTAAAAGGCATCCTAGAAACAAGTTCAAAGAAAAGAAAAGAAAAGCCTCCATGGCTTATTATACTGCACGGTTAAAGTCCAAGAAATTCATCATACTTCCATGAAAAAAAGGAGCATTGCAGGGGATTCATCATGCATATGGAATCAGATATGTAACCACTGAAATTCACGTAGATGCTCCTGCATGACAAATCCCACCTCAACCATATGTGAGAACAGTAGAATCTTTATAAGGTTATGAGCACACTCCCTCCCCCCCCCCCAAAACA